CCGGGTGTTCTCTCATTAATTGTGCTGCCCGTTATATTTCCAATGCTGGTGACACAACAGTGTTACAGTATGATGACATTTGTAAGATAGACTTTGGGACACATGCAAGTGGTAGGATCACGGACTATGCCTTTACTGTCACTTTTAATCCCAAATAGAATACATTTTATTACAAGCTGTAAAAGATGCTACTAATATTGGAATAAAGTATGCTGGAATTGGTGTGCATCTATGTGATATTGGCAAGGCCATCCCAGAAGTTATGGAATCCTAGGAAGTTGAAATAGATAGGAAAACATATCAGATAAAACCAATCCATAATCTAAATGGACATTCAATTGGGCGATACAGAGACCATGCTGAGAAAACAGTGCTTGCTGTGAAAGGGGCAGAAACAAGAATGGAGGAAGAAGTGTGTGCAATCGAAAGCTTTGGTAGTACAGGACTTGGTGTTCATGATGGCATGGAATGTTCACATTACATGAAAAATTTTGATGCTGGAAATGGCCAATGAAGCTTTCAAGAACAAAACATTAAATATCATCAACGAAAACTTTGGCACCCTTGCCTTCTGCTGCAGATGGCTGGATTGCTTGGGAGAAAGCAAATGCTTGATGGCTCAGAAGAATCTGTATGCCTTGGGCATTATAGATGCCTACCTGCCATTATGTGACATTAACGAATCATATACAGCGCAGTTTGAACACGCCATACGATTGCATTCAACAAGTAAAGAAGTTGTCAGCAGAGAAGATGATTATTAAACTTTCTCCAAAGCCACTTCAACATCTTTGTTTTCTAAGTTGTTTTAGAATATATGATACCAGAATTAATTTGCAATATGTTCTCTGTTTTAACAGTGGACCTATGTAATACTTTTATCCATGTTTAAAAAAGAAGGAATTTGATCAAAGGCAAACTGTATAATGTAATTAGCCAAGGAAAAAGCTTTCAGGACTTTCAAATGTTAACTGTCCCCAACCCTTGCCCTGTTTGGAAAATGCTATAAAGCTGAAATTAGTTAGGAATGACTTATACATTTTGTTTTGAACATCTAACAGTTGCTTTTCAGATATTTATATTGCCATATTCTTACCTGAATGCTTTGAATGACTGCATTCAATCTGTATCTATACCCTCTGGTATTGCTTCTTAACCTTCCTGGAATCCATTTTCTAAAAAATAAAGACATTTTCAGATCTGAGAGATACATTT